CTGGCCAGTCTGCTCAGCCTCTGCACCAGCCTCTCTCTCCACCCATCCGTGCAGTGCTGGCTTTCTCCTCCCACATCCCATGCTCTGTGGGTGTGTTGGATGTTGTCGGTTTTAGGGACCATCTACATACATACATGTTTCCAAATTCCTCTCTCAACTGCAGACCTCCCTCCTAGGTCCAGACTCATTGTCTAACTGCCTACAGAATGTTCCTCTTGTACTTCCCCCAGGCTCTCATAAGATGGGATTCAGAGTCATCTTCTCCCCAACACATGGCCCAGCTTCTGTGTTCCCCATCTCACTAACAGGTGTAGCCATCCACATGGCCAATAGCCAGTGAAGAAAGCCTCGTGTTTTCTTGATATCTCTCTTTTCTTACTCTCTACTACTTGTGTGACATCTCTCCTTCATTCCTACAGCAACTGCCCCACGCAAATACACATTCACCATCTTTGTCCTGACAATCAAAACCTCTACCTAACTGGTCACCCTACCTCTAACTTCCTTCTTCCATTCACTCTCTATGTGCAACCACAATAATCTTTCTAAGAGGTAAACATACATACTATTCTCCCCTTAAAACACTGGTGCTTATCACCTTCAAAATGCAATTCAACTGCTAAATATGCCTCCTAAGACTCTTCTTGATTTGTCTTCCACCAATTCCTCCACCTAATCTTTGCTAACCAGTCTACATATTACACTGCACCTCAGCCAATAGTTCTTGATCACAAGAGACCAATTCTCTTGGTGAGCACAGAGTCCTCCATGTCTCTCCGCTTGCCTCCTCTTGTGCCTCCATCAATCTATTCATTCCTAAAGACCCATCTCAATAATTGCTTCCCAAACCCAGGGCCAGATAAGGCCCCTCTATGCTACTGTGGCCCCTTGATCCAACTTTAGTCATATATCATCCTTCTGGAGTCTATAGGGAACCGTGCCCAAGTCTAAGAGTTCTCTAAGAGCAAGGAGGGCCTATATCAGATCCTCTCTGAGACCCAGTAGCAAGCCCTACAGGCCCCCTCTGATTTCCAGAAGAGGACAGGTTTAGATGCTATGCTAAGCCCCCCTGGCCTCAGCTGTGGCCAGCACCTGCCTCCAACAGCTCTAGGTTTTATCCCTCTTTTAGTATCTAACTCTTCCTCTCCTAGGTGACCTCAAAACCACCTCCTAGTCAATGTACTCTATTGTAAGGAGGGTCTGCCCAGGTAGACAATAGGGCTGGTTATCTTCTGAGGCTATCCACACATCCACCAGTGTGCATACTAACATTCAAATGCATATATCCCTTCACATGCACATGAACCTTCCTGTGTACCCTTACAAAAGTACCCTCAAGTCCCTTCACATACCCACACAATTATTGGCACACAAGGACTTGTAGATGACTCCCAATCCCGTGTATGCACCAAGAGGCACATGGGTCCCCATACTCCTGAGCAGGCAGACTCACAGGTGTGGGTAGGTTCCTTGAGGGTTAGTGCCCATTCATTCCTCAAGACCCATCTAAACAATTGCTTCCCAAACTAGACCAGGCCCCTTTGTCAGGGACCCCAGAGAGCACACCTGATTGATGACATAGATGCCATAGCGTAGCCGCTGCCGCCTCAAGATGGGGTGCAGATAGTGGAGCCAGTAGCGCAGGTGATGCTCCCGGTGTCTAAAGGGGATGATGACTGCCACTGTCTGGGCTGGGGTGCAGTCAGGCGGTGTGTAGCGGCCCCCCAGAAGCACACCTGGGTTCTCCCTCTGCACCCGCTCCAGGGGCATGGGTGAGGTGAACTCAATCAGTAGTCGGCCCACTGCAGGCAGGATGGTGTCAGGAATCAGGGCCTTTGCCAGAATCCAGGGACACCAGCCCCCTGGGGGTGAGCAATGAACTCCAGAAATAGCCCTTTTTCAATTGACTTGGACCTTGGCATCCCCTTGGGTCAGGACTATATTCTTCCAGTCACACTGGTAAGACCCTCCTCCCACCCCTACAGACAGGTCCTACCCAACAGGCTCACCAAGACCAGGTGGAAGGTCAGGACAGGGTGGGAGGACAGGAACTGTGGGGCCGGGCCGGGCACTGGGGACCTCAGGGAGCCCAGAGCTGGGGGCAGTGGCGTTGGGCCGAGAGCAGTTGGTGGTGCTGCTGGCTGCCGGATGGAGGGCACGGGTGGGGCCACGGGCACTGAAGCGGCTGAAGAAGGCCAGATGCTGGGCGTAGACGTCAAAGTACAGGATGACGGCCACAAGGAAGTGCAGCAGGCAGAGAAGGAGCACAGCCTTGCAGACGCGCTCCAGCGTCCCCCCCAGCAGTCTGCTCATCCCGCAGGCGGCCGCCGGCCCGCCCAATGGGCCCGGGCATCCGGCTGCCGGCCTGAACAGGAAAGGAGAGAAACAGACCCCAAAGGTCAGGGCAGGATGGGCAAAGCTGCCTACCCGCCTCCTGCCCAGCTTCTCACACTCAGAGATCCACATCCTCACTTACCTGCTCACACCCTTGTCACTCACAGAATCACACCCTACCTGCCATCACCCCAACAACTGCTGGCAACTAAGAGCTCACCCCAGTACTAAATTACCTGCACTTATACTCCTTGTCCTCCCTGACACATATACACACCCAGGTACACACCCTTATTGCACAACTCTATACATATGTACTCCCAGGAACGTGGACACAGTGAACTCTGATTACACAAGTTTGTACCTAAGCATGGAAACACATTTAGCTACAGACCTGTATGTGCACCTGTGCCCCAAGGAACAGATGCCCCACAGGGCAGTATCCTCAACCCAGGGCTCAGGGCTTGGGGAAGGGGAAGGGGACCACTTACTGAGTAGCTACAATGCAGGAACACTTCATACTCATGACTTCATTTAGTCCTTCCAGGAGCCATGGTGAGGTCTCAGAGGAAAGCAGGCCAGGCCAACTGGGACCAGGCTGGGAAGTGGCCCTCAGCATTCCAAGGGGGCCCAAATATGGGCAGGATATTTATGGGATCCCTTCCCACAAGAGCAAGGGGCCAAAGTACAGGGTTGGGCAGGGGATAACCATCATTTAAGATAGGCCAGCTCTGGAGTCTGCCTAGCACCGCTGGTTCTGATTTCCAGAAGAGGACATGTTTGGGCCCTGGAGATGGGCACAGTTCTGGGGAGGGGCTTTCCTGGGCCATGGCTCTAGCTGTGGTTCCAACAAGGCAGCAACCACTCTGGGTAGTGCTACAGGGAGCAGGGTGTCTCACTCACATACATAGAATCCCAGGAACATGCCTGGACCCAGCAGAAGTCCCACACTCAGACACACAGAGAACTACATAGAGTGGCAGACACACCCGGTGGCGGTAACCCAAGAGCCCCACACTCACCCACAAAGCTTCTGCTGCCGGACTTACACAGCCATACATCCAGACTCCCCGGGCAGCTCACACCCAGACCCACGTGCAAGTATTCCCTCCCCTCCCTCCCGGGCAGGGTTCTGGGTCAAGCTGGCCGCCAGGCTGAGGGGTACGTTTGGGCGGGGCTGGGAGGCTGAACACGTGGCACCCCGGGTCGGGGGAGGCAGCAGAGACCGGGTGGGTGTGGAGCCTGGGGGGGCGCGTGGAGTGGGGGGAGTGTAAGTGAGGCGGAGGCCGAGGCAAAGGAGACGTGAACGAAGCGCCTCCCCGAGCCACGAGGCCAGGGCGAGCGAGGACAATGAGGGAGGCTGGCTGGGGGCGGGCGGAGGAGCCCAGGGTTGGGGGTGGGGTGGGGTGAAGCCAGGCAGGGGGCTGCCCGCCGGCGCCTCGCGCTCACCCACTCTAGGGTTGGGATCTGGGGCCGCGCTCGGGCAGCCCCTCACGGGGCCGGGTCTGAAATCTTGGGGCCCTGGGTGGGGGGCCGCGCGCGCCCTCATCTCACCCGGAGCTCGGGGCTCAGCAGGGGACGCCGCTCC